AGATAGATAGATAGATAGAGACAGGCAGGCAGGCAGGCAGGCAGGCAGGCAGGCAGGCAGGCAGACAGACAGACAGACAGACAGACAGACAAACAGACAATGTCTGGACTATGTTTTTTTCCATACATTTGAAATAAGGAGTCATTTGGCATATTATATTTTAAATTCATTTACACAGCAGAGAAATAACTCCAATAACGCAATATGCTAACTGTATAAGAAATATAGAAATAAATGTGAATTTTGATTGAGAACCAAGTATTTGTCAGTGATGTATCAACCTTACATGTGTTTTATCACAAGTAGGTGGAATTATGTTCAGTGATCCTACATTAATAGGTTGGGTGTATTGAACATAAATTTATAGAATTCACAATGTAAGTTTTATAAACATGCAATTATAGAGGTTTTTTTTCAAAGACACTGCAGAAGATCTTAACTGTAATTCTAAACCTAACTTATAGTGAACAATATTAATAGTGTGATTACTAATTGGGACAACATTCCCATCAAATACTTAGAATAATAAACCAATATTTCAATCATCAAACATCTGAACTATTGAATTAATCAAAACAGTAATTTTCATTTAGTAATTTTGCTTGTTCCTATGCATGACTCCCTCCTATGTATGATTTTATTATTGCATAATAAAAATATGGTAATTTTTGCTTACCAAACTGTTATAAAATCATATATTGGTTCAGTTTGAAGAACAGTAAAATTGATATAAATGCCATTTCCTGGTGGTACTCTTACAAGCCAAAAACAGTCTTGAAAATTTGGATATTCATCAGGGTAGCCAGGTGAATATATTGTACCATTCATAGCAGTTATATTTCCTCCACAAAGAGCTATGAGGGAAGAAGGAAGGAAGTTAAGTGTAGCAATTTCATAATATTTATGCATTTTCTAAATAAAATGTAATAGGAAAATATATATTTTATTGCTTTAGGATAAAAAAACCCAAAACCAAATAAAAAATGACCCCAAATACAGACAGCCCCCCCGCAAACCTCCCCCCCCAAACCAACACCTATTATGGATTTTTAGAAACCTTGGTATTTTTTACCAATTGTTTACCAATTATTTTAACTTCATAAAATAATATTAAAAAGTTCATTAAACTGAAAACTTTTCAGAATGAAGAACATCAGAAATTGTTCATCAAGGGAAAGGGAACATGTATCATCAATTGAAGGCCACAGTTCTAGAACTACAAAGTTTTCCCAACTTTGAAGAGTAATTTTTTAGCTGCACCCTACGCTCAATAAATCCATGTTCTTGTTGAGATGTATCTTATATATATAATTCAAATGTACATTCTTATTATTAAACCATTTTCACATTTGTAGTGTTCTATCATCTAATATATATTAAATGTGATACTACTATTTGTCATTTTGCAGAGTGTTTTTTTTTTTCTTTCCACTTTTTGGTTTAATAAGGTGTAAATCAAAAAGTGGGGGGAAAAAACCTCTCTGCAAAATGACAAATAGTAGTATCACATTTAATTAATTAATTAGTTAATTAACTACATGTGTAGTTTTAATATTTGATTATTTTTCTACCTTTTTGTAACTTATAAGCTGCCCAGAGTCACCTTATATGGGAGATGAACAGCATAAAAATTACATTAAATTAATTCAATTAATTCAATTAAATTAAAACAAGTAGAAAAATAATTAAACCATTAAAACATGTTGAGGTTTTAAAACCATATTGAAACCAGATCTAAGAGACAGATAGGACAGGGATTAGATCTTCTTACCCCTTCTTATATGCAATAGAATAGTTAAAATTCATAAAGCTGCTTCCAATGCCAGTCCGTCAGTTTATTTGCAGCAGGAATATTAATTTAAAAACATGTACTTGGCTTACTACACAGAACAAAATGTAACGTAGATCTTTGATATTGGCCATGCTACGAGTCTAGTGTAGAACTAATGAATGTGAATTGTAATCAACCAGAGAACAGATTTTGAAATACTTGCTGTCTCCCTTAAGCAATTTTCTTCTCATTTCCTTGGATATCATTCTGTTGCTCAACAGTCAAAGCACTATATAGATCCTTATCCTACTTTCAACCGGTTGACTATACTTATTTTTTTCAAAGACTGAATTTAAATTACAATATTTGAGCTTTTAATAGCTGGTGCTGTAAAATATCAAAACCAAACATAAGAACTAGAAAGTGTCTGTCTGTCATCTATCTATCTATCTATCTATCTATCTATCTATCTATCTATCTATCTATCTATCTATCTATCTATCT